CATAGGATATACCAGAGCCTTTTTCGGATATCTTATGGACATCCACTTTTGAATAGTGCAATTCTCTGAGCTTCGGATACTGATACTTTCACGACGTGCTATAGTATTGAACTGAGTTATATTCATTTTTTGAGTGATTATAAGTGACATTTACAACTTATGTTTGATACTGTGTGTAGTTGAAGACAGCGGTAACGTACTACATATTCAATAATTAATATAAATATTGTGAACGTAGTATGGTAAAATATCCCAGATATGCGGCGAATGCGATTCTGCGATTGATAGGCGAAAAACTCAGTACATTTCTTGTGCGGGTTTTTGCAACAAGTCTTATCACTTGCAGTGTGTTCGATTATCTGCTGGATCCTTGGATGGCTTGGATTGCCTTAAGACTCCGGGTTTTTGTTGGTTCTGTACAGCATGTCTCAAAATGAAGAACAAATATGATTTACACATTAAAAATATTCGATTTGAAGATTTCACAAGTGATGAAAGATATGGAATCCATGTTTGATGACATAAAGTCTGATATTTTGAAAATAGCTGATGAAAAATTATCACATGCTTGTAAAACTCAGATTGTCAATAAGGAGAAAACTATACATATGCTGATATAACTGGTAGTAAATCCATGGTTGTTATTAAACCAATCGATGTTGAACAAACGAATGATAAGACCAAATGCGATATTATGAAAAATATCAATCCGGTGGATTATGGAGTGCAAGTATCTCAAGTTAAAAGGGTCAGAGATGGTGGAATTCTTATTGGGTGTAATAATACTGAAGGTGCTACAAGTTTTACGAAAATTGCCAAAGAAAAGTTATCGTCTTCCTACAAGGTTTCTTTTCTTAAGGTTTCTTAAAATTTACCAAATATCAAAGTCGTTGGTCTGGTTGAAAACTATACAGAAGAAGATTTAGTTAAGTATTTGGAGGGCCAGAATGATGTTATATCAGATGATTATCATGTTAGTGTATTACGAGTTTGGGGAACCAAGAAAGATTCAAATATTTTTCAAGCTCTCGTCGAATTGGATGCTTTAGCTTATGGGTTGGTACTCAATCGCGGTAAACTTTTTGTTAACTATGATGTATGTCCCCCTAACAACATAGGGATGTCCTAGGTACGTCCCTTTTTTGTCCCGCGGTACAAGGACATGATTGGGGCATCCAGGGGATGTCGCGCAGTGGTTGTCCAGTGGACATCCCGCCCGGTACATCCCTAGGTTATCCTATTCGTGTCCCTGGAATATCTGATATCCATTCACATCAGAGTCACTGAATTTCATCGAAGTATTAAAGTTGAATTTTTTTTGAAAATGTTTGTTTTTCTTCCGGAAAATAATCGTAATGAAAATAAAGAATAAAGTTTCAGAACTTCTTAAGAAATTACCATTTTTCGCAAACAGAAATCGTACATGCATAATGCTCCTCATTTTCAAACACCCAAGAATGATATAATAATTATACCCAAATCCTAACAAAGTTGTATTTATTCAGGTTTATGTAGTTAAGTCCTGATTATAAATCTGTTTAGTACATAAATCTTCAGGAGGCTCAATAGCCAATGGCGTGCCTGATAAGCCAAAGGTCCCTGGTGCAATCCGTACTCTACCTCCTTTTTTTTTTCTGTTGTCGAAGGAATGTCCCTGGGATATCCTTGGGACGTCCTAGGGATATCCTTTCTTCGTACTTGGTACATCCCAGGGACGTACCAGAAGGACGTCCCTAGGATGCCTCTTTTTGTGGAAAGCGGATGTCCCTGGGACGTCCCTAGTATGTACCATGTCCCGACACAGGATATCCCAGGGACTTCCTCGGAGAAAATGAAGGACGTCCCTGGGACGTCCCTAGGACGTACTCGTGTTGTTAGGGCCTGTATATGATGCAACAGAAATCAAAATTTGTTACAAATGTAGTGGATTCAATCATAGTCAGTCGACATGTAAAAGCAACAAACTTATTTGTCCAAAATGTTCCCTTGATCATTGTTTGAGAGACTGCGATTCGGCAAATGAGAAGTGTGTGAATTGTACGGCTGCCAAAGTTACTGATAACCAGCATGCAGTGTGGGATAAAAAGTGTCCAATTTACCAAAGAAAAATGTCTTCATACAAATCAGATTTATTCGTAACTAAATAGCAGTCAGAGATTCCACAGGAAACTAAACAGAGGTGTATGTCACGAATAAAACAAGAGGAGGAGGTGTATTATTGGCAATAAGCAATCATATTAGTTCAACTCAGATTGACTTGACTACCGTATCGGACTTATAGTGCCAATGATTGATATGATTGGTATTAAGGTAATGTTGGGAAAAACTTACTCTTCATTTTGAATATCTACATCCCCCCTGCTACAATTCCTGCCACGTACGAAATTCTCTTTGAAACATTATGTAATCTCCCATATCTCAATGAATCTGATAGTAATCTGATTATTGTTGGAGATTTCAATATTCCAAACTTTGTCTCCTCTATTCCAAAAGGACTTATGGACAATCTCGTGAATTTTAGCAATTATATGGGATTGAGTCAATATAATTTGATTTTGAATTACAATAATCGTATTCTTGACTTAGTTTTCAGTAGGTCAACAGTTGTTGTTTCCGAATCCAGTGATCCCCTCCTTCCAATTGATACTCATCACCCGCTATTACTAATTGACTTCAAGTTTGACTCTTGTAGCACCAAATTTGTAACAGATTGTATCGCAACTTATAACTTCAGAGAAGCAAACTTTGGAAAATTGTATCAGGACCTCATGGAAGTTGACTGGTCATTCTTAGATGCGTTAGTAGATGTCGATTCAGCGTGCACTCAACTATATACAAAGCTAGAAAGTATTTTCTCGAAAAGTGTTCCTACCAAAATAGTTAGAAATTCCTCATATCCACCTTGGTTCACTGGTCCAATAATTAGGAATATAAAAAAGAAAAACAAACTTTTAAAACTTTACAGATGAATTCCTTGAAAATTTCAAAACCTTGAGAAGTACTATTAAGAAAGATGTATCAATATCACATACGAATTTTGTTAGAACTGCTGAACATATATGAGTTGCAAAACAATCCAAAATCATTTTCATATTATGAAAAATAAGTCCAGTTTACCAAGTTCAATGATCCTCAATGATGATGAATTCAATGAACCCTTGGAAATTTTGAATGCCTTTGCGACCATTTTTCAATCATCTTTTATAACCTCAACAGTTTATGAACCTGAGGAAGGAGTCGATAACACACCCAGTGCATATCTGCATGTGAGCTTTTTTTTCTCTCTTCATAGTTTTTTTTTCAGCTCATATGCAGATATGCCCATCTCCATTAATAATAATAATAATAATAATCATTTATTTTCCTTCGGATAATACAAGTATTATATAGGAATAGTCAATGTCAAAGTCAAAAGACTCATGAGGAGAAAAATTCTCCTACACTATAAAAGCATTTTTCAAGTAAGAAACATCTTAGTTTTCGTTTGAACAAGGAAATGGATACAATATTTTTTGAAACATCAGGTAGATGGTTAAACATTTTTGGTCCTATATGGTTTGGAGCAACAGAAGTTATTTCATATTTGGCATATGGTATATGAAATAAGTTTTTACTTCTAGTATTGATATCGTGAATATTCTTATTAACTATGAATTTATGTTTGTTTTGAAATACATATACACATGTTTCGAAAATTAAAATGCATGGCAATGGTAGAATGTCATACTGAACAAACAGATTCTTGCATGATTGCCTCTTTGACACCCCACCTATACAGCGAATAATACGTTTTTGGGTGATAAACACATTTTTTGCCATTGTGGAGTGGAGTGGAGAGTCAATAACTGATTCTTTTCAAGCACAAAACGTAGATTCATGAGCAGCACAATTTCGAAATCAACTGAGAACATTGTGGTTTCCAGTCAAGGCACTCATCGAAGTTAATGCCTAAATATTTTATGGGGTCACTGGTGTTCTTCAAAGTCTGGTTATTGTAAGGAAATAGAAGTGGTTCAATAGCATTCTGGCGATGGTGAAATCGTAGAATTTGCGTCTTATCAACGTTAAAAAATAAATCGTAATTATTGAAGTAGTTTGATGCAAAGGTTACTGTATCACTACACTTTTCTATCATAGATAACGAGTCAGGTGCAGACACAATCAAAGAGAAATCATCTGCATAAGCAGTATACTTCATTGTATCAAGAACAGAGTCAATTTGATTGACGTATAATATAAATAGTATTGGTCCTAAAATGGACCCTTGGGGTACACCCATATCAGTAGAAGTAGATTCTGAGTGAATTTTTGACATTCCATTATCATCAGAATGTTGTAACGAGACAAATTGATTACGATTTTTCAGAAAAGAAGATATCCAATTTGAGGACCGCCCCTTATACCATAGTTTTCGAGAGACGATAGTAGCTTTGTGTGATTGACGCAGTCGAACGCCCTGCTTAGATCACAAAATATAACTGCAGGACATTCGCCTGCCTCAATAGATTCAATGACTGTGTTGAACATCTATGGTTGAACAAAGATAATAGCGCTGTAGAAGTTGATTTTCCCGCTCGGAAACCATGTTGGTTTCCACTCAGAATATCATTTCTTTCGATGAAATTTATAAGTCGATTCAAGAAAGCATATTCGAAAATTTTAGACATTGAGTATGGAACAGTTATTGGTCTGTAATTTTTCAGTATTCTCACCTTAGTATGAAACTTATGTATAGTTAGTATTAATCTAGTTTGTATCTAAATTGTAATTTGTAATTAATTTTTTATCTTTCCCATCCTGTAATTGGCTCCGGCTGTTGGATGGTGTATGAATAAAATAAAATAAATAAAATAAAATATCCATGATGGATATCCATAGTATATCCATAAGATATACTTGTGCTGTCTGGGATAGAGCTGTCATCAATTTTGACATTTCATGGGAGATGAGATTTTGTGAATGTAGCCATTGTGATATCAGACACGAAAAAAAAATTGCAAACATGCAACACAATAAAACAAGAACGATTTTGTGTTATAGCTGTAGAAAAAGTACGTTGTCTACACCTATATGAAAGATATATTGTCCTCAGCTAGTATAGTTATATGGGCGAAGCCTGGGTAATTTTTGACCTTTGACCCTGTTTGGTTCGTTTTGTTGGGAGAGCGCCACACATGCGTGAAAAGTGTCAAAAATCGTAAAAAAATTAAGAAAATGTCAACACATTTTCTACGATTTTTCGATGTTTTGAGGCATGCGTAGTGCTTTTCTGATGTTATTTTTTCACGTTTCTTGACGCCTTTCGACTATTCGACAGATGCGTGGCGCTTTCCCGCCAATATACAGACCAAACGGGTCAAAGGTCTACATGTACTCGACCTACTGTATATATTTTCACTATATTATTCAAATATATATAATTTCTGAATTTCTACAAATGTCTTATAGAATTCAAATATAAAATAAACAGTATCGGATGTAAAAATGTAACAGTAACAGAGTGTCGTAGGTATTATGTAGGTAGGTAGGTACCTCATGAAACGACTTTATTCATTTTGCAGTAATAACATCTGTACTTTGGCGGTGCAGGTCCATCAATATGTATAGGATCTTCTGGCCTGTTGTAATGTTCCAGACACGGTAATCTCTCTATAATATCCTCATCCTCCTTTAAACTCTTCGGTAGACACTCCCAATATTTTTTTAGTTGTCTTCCAGATAAGCGTATCAGGTACATTTTAGGCAGTATTTTGACCAATTCAGGACTCAAATTTTCATCTTCTAAATCGAAAACTTGTGATATATTCTGAGAATTTGTTTTGACGAACATATTCATAACTGAAACTATTCTAGAATGAGGGATAGATAGATAGATAAGATAAGTAAATGTTATCATTATCATAATTATATGGAGGGATATTCGATATCGTAGACTGCTATAATCTCCTTATCTTTCATAGGCATGGCCATTTATTATGCAGTATCGTTCACAATAATTATCAGAAACATTGCGAAATATCGTTTGTTATATATAAGTAGACAAAATATCACATTCATTGAATCAAGGCATATAGGTATAGGTACCTATAATATCTATCTAGTTAATAGTTGAATCGATCTCATTTTGAATTTCTGTTTCTTCGTCATCCAGGACCTTATTATAAATTGAGGGCTGTAGATATTCGATACTCATCACAATCCTGAAAAATTAAAATTTGGACGTAAGATATTTTGCAACTGAAATATTATTCATGAATATAGTGAATGCCTTATCATACTCACATAATAATTACAATATTAACTACATACAGACCAGCTGTAAAGAAGTTAAATATTCCAGGATCTTCATTAATAGTTGAATTGTATATCACAGTATATAGTGGAGAAGCACCTAACGAAATAATAAATTCGCAAATCATAATCATGGAAAAAATTTTTCCTATTTCGTCAGGTTGTACCAAACTGGAAAGTAAGGATCTCATCATTGGACTTATCACCCCACCAAGACATCTTACTGCGGCAGCTGAAATATGAATATTATCTTCAGTAAACTTGTCAGCTTTCCCTTGCTGTCACACTCTTTAGTAGTGAAACTATGATCGCTCCTATCAACAAATGAAAAAGGGCAATATTTTGAGTGTTTTCGAAAGATTCAATATCTTCCACAATATTTTTTATCGACAAGAATTATCTATCAAAGACACGGCACAGGCTAGAAATTATCCAGCGTCCCAACCTGTAGCTAGCGAAAATTCCTCAAACAAAAAAGGCCCAAGCAGGGATTTCGGGATTTACTCGAGCGCGGCAGATTAACATAAGGGGGGTATTTTTGGACCTTGTGAAGTACCCCCACCATACCTGGGCCTTTATATGGTGTCGAAAGTTTAGGGCAGCCGATCAGATTAGGAAAAAAAAATCGATCATCAGAAATACTCGAATGCATCAGATTAAGACATGGTAGGTATGTTAATTACATGCAGAAAAGTGTGCATTTCAATAATCTGACGATTTGAACGTGACATAAGGAAATGGGAGAGCAACAAAGTTGCAAAAAAAATCGCCACCTGTACATTCTCGAGCGCGGTTAATTTTTTCTTATTTCGAAGGCATTTAGTTACGGATCACGGAAATAACATAATCTGTCGATTTGCACAAGCCGAAGTAGCGAAAATCATCAATTAAGTGATTGATTAAGTGTGGTGCTTGCAGCCACTAGAAACTATGTACGTAATAGGCAATTCCACACTGATTGAAAATAGCCCTTTTTATATGGCGTACGGTCTAATACACATGACTCAGTATATCAAATAGCACGTCATCTCATCTATTGATTCCTTTACAAACGTTTAATTAATACTTCAAAAGTGCTACAAATTGAGAGAGTTTCAAACGAACATTTTTCGCTGTGTGACGTCACTTGTATTTTCTTGAGGCTCCCTCTGACGACCCAAAGACGATGCATTGCACAAAACCACAGACACAGAACTCAAGTACATCGTGGTAAGAAAAAGATTAACCTTGAAATCTAGTTCATAGTTCATTATTTCATTTCATTTTCAGTGATCTAACAGTGTCATAATATCATAGTTTTATACAAATGGTGCGGGACCAAGTGACAAGACGAATTCTCTAATGAGAATGTCTGTCCGAAGTGTATGACGCGGTGTGACGCACCTTGTTTTCGTCCAATGAAATGCCATCAATATTTCGCGCGCAATTTAATAATTTTTTTCTGGGTCGACCGCAATCGTAAGAAAATAGAAAAAATTCTGAATTCACCCAGTATATGTTCTAAATCGTGAAAAATATTTCAAAAAATCATGTCAAATTGACAAGTGATACGCGGGTAACTGATCTCTGCTAATACCATTGACAACGGGTTGAGAAGTTATAGTAGTAGAAGTATGAAAAAAAGTTGATGAATTCATCAAAATATGCTTTCAACAATAAACGAAGTTGTTGAAAGTGACAACTAATTTTCAACAGTGCATATACAGAGTGTACCAATAGTGTGGCAAAGTGAGATAACGGCTTTGCTGTTTGAGATAGGTGAACAAAAATTCATGAGATGATCTAGGCTCATATGGGCAGCACAGTTCTGAAATATTTTGCTTCATACAGGGTTACACAAAAAGGCGTGGTGTATCAAAGTTTTACGAATACAGGGTGGTTCATAATTCAGAACTATGAACCACCCTGTATTCGTTCAAATTAAATATCAGTAAATAGTGAATCAAAAGTCAAGATAGGGACATGTAAGCCATTTTGACCAATAATGAGTACTTTTAATACAAGAAATTCCGAAAGTAGGAAAATCTTGATTTTTTTCACCCTATTTCTCTGTGATAATTTCTCTTGAAACTAAAGTGTGATATAGATTGTTGGAATCAGCTCATAAGGTGTAAACTGTACTCTTCTACGGACCATCAACTGAACTGTCCTCATCAATTATGCAAGATCTGGTCCTAGAGGGACCCAGAAAAATTCAAATTCAAGAATAATTCGTTCGTCCCTGGGACATCCTATGGACATCCAATCGATATCCCTCAGCGTTGCTGATATAGGTTGTCCTACGGATGTCCTGAGTATGTCCTCCGTAGTGCTTGATGAGGAATACTGTAGGATTTAGGTTTTCGATAGTTGTCCCAGGGACATCCCTCAAGGACGTCCCTAGTTGGTCCTCAAGTGGGACATTTGTGCGTTCCACAGACGTCCGATGGACGTCCACGGTACCAGATTCAAACGTCCTATGGACGTCCTGAATGTCCCGACAGGACGTCCTAAGGATATCCATGGGACATAATTGTGTTATTAGGGTAGTAATATCTGATGCGCTCGAGTATTTCTGTGACTGTTTTTTTTCTTTTCATTTTTGAACACCTGTACATGCCTGTACAGTGTACACGCTCTCCCCACCAGTGAAAGGTGTTATACGGGTGTTTTTTATATATTGCGACAAAATTCAGGAACGTGTTCTCTGGACAAAAATTCGCAAAAAAGTTCCTATAAACATAGGTCCTAAACCTTTTAGATTTTGAGCTACAGGGTGGTAAAGTTTCAACAAAAAAATGATTTTTTTTTCATAACTTAAATACCCCTGTAGATATTTGTCTAAAGATTGGTATGCAGGGTCTGTGTATCCAGAGCCATTTACCAACATACTTTTAACATTTTTATGTTCTCCAGTGGCGTGTGTGCGGGTTTTCCGCTGAATACTTTTATAAAGAAAAATGGTACGCCACTGGTTTTTCTTGTATTAAAAAATATTTTTAAATTCCCCGTTTTATTTGCAACATTTTTGATCCCCTGGACTTTGTCCGTTAGATGCACGGTTTTCGTACAAAAAATTAAAAAACATCTACTCTGACTGATCGCTAAAATTTATTTTTTCTATGATCTTTATAAAAAGTAAGTTTTTTTAAAATTTTATTTAAAATTTCATTGTAGTTCATAATATGTCACTTCATTTAACATGTTAAAAAAGTGACATATGAGTAACGTGTTAATATTTCACGCTTCCAAAATCGCGAAGTAGCCTGTGAACATAATTTTTTTTAACGTAACTACGGACAACGCTGCCGCAACGATTATCACATTCTTGTTTAAGACGTCAAAATTAATGTCAAAGTAAATAATTTAAGTACAAGTTGACAAGATTAATTTGTTAAAAAAATGGCTAACAATTACACAAATAATGAAATGTGCGATATGCACTTCATTTATGGACTGGCTAACGGAAACGCACGAGAAGCCTTGCGTATTTATGCTGAACGTTACCCGAATCGTGTTATTCCTCATCACTCCATGTTTACGCGTTTACACCAACGTCTAAGTGATACCGGCAGCTTTAAAAAACTCACCGCTGAAAACGGACATCCCCGAACAGGTACTCCTCAAATTGAAGAACAGGTGCTCAATGAATTCGAGGAAGATCCCACCACAAGCACTAGGAAAATTGCTCAGACGGTACACATTTGTAACTTTACAGTTTGGAATATTCTTAAAAGAAACCTTTTATACCCGTATCATATTCAGCGGGTGCAGGCACTTTTGCCAGGCGATTTTCCGAAAAGAACGGCTTTGTGTCGTTGGATGCAAGAACGCATAAGGCAAGATGCACCGTTTATAAGAAAAATACTTTTCACCGATGAGGCTAATTTCTCCAGGGACGCAATTATGAACTTCCACAATAACCACATATGGCATTATGAGAACCCACATGCTGTGGCAGAAAACCGTCATCAGCACCAGTTTTCACTTAATGTATGGGTCGGCATTATTGAAAACTTTCTCATCGGTCCATTTTTTTTACCAGCAAGGTTGACTGGACAAGTGTATCAAGAATTTCTTGAAAATGAATTACCAGTGATGCTAGAAGATGTCCCTATTCAGCTGAGACAGCAAATGTTTTTTTTTTAATGACGGTGCTCCAGCCCATTTTAGTTTAGTGGCTCGGCAGTATTTGGATATTACGTATCCAAATCGTTGGATAGGTCGGGGAGGTATTAACCCTTGGCCCCCACGGTCTCCCGACTTAAATCCGCTGGATTTTTTTTGTGGGGACACCTTAAATCACTGGTTTATAGAAATCCAATTGATAATGTGGAGGAATTGCGTAATCGTATTATAACGTCTTGTGACATAATTCGGCAGACACCAGGAATTTTTGAACGTGTCCGCCAATCAATGCGACGTCGATTAGATGCTTGTATTGATGTTGGAGGAGCACACTTTGAACAACTTTTGTAAAAATAATAATATTACTTAAATAAATAATAAAAAATGAAATATTTTTTATCACTTAAAAACTTGTATTTTAAATTAAAGATTGTAGAAGCAAAAGTTTTGAATCCTCAATTACAATTTTATTAAATTGGGCTGGCTTTTGTACTAAATTGATTAATAAAATTTAAAAAAAAAACTTACTTCTTATAACGATCATAGAAAAAATAAATTTAGCGATCAGTCAAAGTAGATGTTTTTTAATTTTTTGTGCGAAAACCGTGCATCTAACGGACAAAGACCAAGGGATCAAAAATGTTGCAAATAAAACGGGGAATTTATAAATATTTTTTAATACAAGAAAAACCAGTGGCGTACCATTTTTCTTTATAAAAGTATTCAGCGGAAAACCCGCACACACGCCACTGGAGAACATAAAAATGTTAAAAGTATGTTGGTAAATGGCTCTGGATACACAGACCCTGCATACCAATCTTTAGACAAATATCTACAGGGGTATTTAAGTTATCGAAAAAAAATCATTTTTTTGTTGAAACTTTACCACCCTGTAGCTCAAAATCTAAAAGGTTTAGGACCTATGTTTATAGGAACTTTTTTGCGAATTTTTGTCCAAAGAACACGTTCCTGAATTTTGTCGCAATATATAAAAAACACCCTGTATATATCATGTAAACTTGTTTTCATTTTCGCATCTAATCTTCACAATCTGATACGTCCACACGACGCTCGAGTTAATCCTTATTTAGCATCTTTGCCTCCCCTACTATAGGTGAAATTTTC